CATGCTCCACCCTCCTACCACACGGGTGGACAAGCAGGGGCGCCCCCTGCCTCAGTCTGAGCAAGATTACGATCCTCGCACTGATCCCTGGCACGCGGACAATCACTGACCATGCGGCGGCTGACTCTGAGCTACCCACAGTGCTTTATCCGTTGATGATTTACATGCCAACAACCATCTCTCACACTGGGTGTTTTGCTTGTTTTTGTTTCAGCCTGGTGTTCTACGTCGACCATCATCTTCGGAAGCTAGTTTTCCCCTGAGACCTCGGACAGAGACAACTTGTTTCACCCTGCACAACGAAAAAACCAGTTTGTGCCTTCAGCTGCCTTTCTTGCTCATCAATTTTGATTATACTTGGACCCAGCCAGTTTTTTGTTAACTTTTTCAGCGACATTCTCACATTACCTTTGCATGACACAACTCCTTTCCGTATCCGACCTCTAACTATATCTGACAGTTTCATGACTGTTCGACACTGCCATTTGGAAGCCACTATGCACTGATTGACACCTGTTCTTGACCTTTCCTCCCCGCGCCTTCAGCTTGCTCAAACCAACAACCCGTGATCTTCGCCTCCACGATCCAGTGGCACTTCGACCAGCCACCATGGACGCGCAGTGGCAACAATATTACTGGAATCATTACTTGCTTCAACAGCAGCATCATCAGCAGCTTGCCAACCCAGACACAACGGTTTCACCTCCCACTGCAACTCACCACACCTACAACCCTACCGGCACTTATGGCCCACTCACTCACGCACTCCGCACGCATCAGGCCCACCACTCTCATCCATACACGACTTCACCTTACACACCACCACCGCAGCACACACCGCCACAACAGGCACCGCCGTCACAGCCGGAGTTCCCACCTCCACCCCCACCACCACTCCCCACAGCCGACCCAGTCACTCCACCATCGACCTACAAGCACAGCCCACCACCACCGCCAGCTGCCCGCGCCGGCACGGCACCTGCTCCACCGCCACCTCACATCCCATCCCCCACTCCACCCGTCCAAGACTCTTGGAACCAAACCGACCACCATTGGGACTCCAACACCTTGCACGGCCACCAACTATACCGTACAATCCAACCCACACAGTGGTCTCGAAAAGCAGGAGTGGCAGGGCTTCCGACCTTTGACATCTTCCCATGGCAACTGGCGTACCATGGCACCTCCGAATTTACCGCCCGCACTCTTAGCAACGGAAAATATTGCGGAGTCGGTTTTCGTGACCCACCTTCTCCAAGAGCTCCGCGAGAAACGCCTGGACCTAGACGGCATCGCTGAGACCCTCCACACCAAACAGGGCACCGACATTCCCAGCAAGACAACACAGGCCCGAGCCTTCCACGCCCCCCTACCCCACACATACCACTACCACAACTTCCTCTCCTCCAATTCAGTTTACATCAAGCTACACTTCAACCCTGACCAACCTCAACGCTGCTACCATCAACATGGCCACTTCTATGTGGGCTCCACAGCCATTGGCATTCCCCACCGCGAACACAACCGCCGTGCCAAACTCAAACAACTCCAGAACAACATCCCCATTTCTGCAGAACTCTCCCTACGCTATTGGCACTCACACAACAACATCCACCACTACACTACCATCCAACTTACATCCCACGACAAATACGACCAAGCCTGGATCCAAGAACACCACTACATCGCAAACTGGATGCCTACACTCAACTGGCCCTTTATCTCCCACCACCTCAAGCTCAAAGCTCAAGGCTGGCAGTTCACCAAACACAGAGCCCATTTCTACTCCAGATTAGCAACCCACAAACGACTCTTTCGACGCCTGCGGCAACGCCAGTACACACTCAGAGAACCACACCTTTACACCTCCACCAAGCATCACGCCCTCCAACTTCTCCGCAACCTTACCAAACACACAGCAGCCTCCTTTGAAGCAGCCAAAGAGCTACGAAGCGGCCGTCACACGGACCTTGAAGTCTACGCCATCCGGCGTATGGCCGCCAACCTTGAGGAACCCGGCCGCAGCAGAGCTCTTCACATCATCAACAAAGCCCTCCTCTACCGCAACCTCACGCCGCCAAAACCGAATATTCCACTGACAGTGCCATTTCTGGCCCACGACGATTTCACCAAACACTGCCAACAATGGCTCCGTACTACCATTCAGCAGCGCAAGCACTTGACCATTCCCCTTCACCTCCCCTCCCACCGACTGCGCGAAGCCGCACACAAAACCCTACGTTCCCACCTACACAACCACCGCGCATGGGAAGACGCCCTCCATTCCCCGCCAGATCCCGCAGACCTCCCCTGCGCATGTGGCCATCTTCGTACTCTCCTGCAGGATCCTGACACACCCACCACCAACGGCCACTACATTCTTACACTTGATCAACTCCAACTCCCTACACATCTTGGCATCTTTCTCAACGCCAACATGAACAGCACCTACTACCCAAGCAAGGCCCGATACTTCCTCACGTTCCGGACGGCCTACACGAAATGGCTCAAGCTACAAGGGCTCCCACCATCCCTCGTACAACACTTGCAGCCATTTCTCGAGCACCAGTGGCGCCTCCACAACATGCACCTCAAGCAGCAACCCCGTTTTACGGCTCGCCTGCTTCGCCAACTCCAAGAATACCTCGGCCAACACACAGTGCTTCACCATGCCGACCATGAACTAACTCCGGCTGTTCTGCCCCCGCCAGTATTTCACTGGCGCTTTGAATACATGGCAATCCCCCGAACTTTTCGAACCACTTCCCCACCTCACTGCCGCCAACATCCACGACCACCTGGCAGCCACTGTTCCCCCCATTTTGCGCACCCGCTACAAATGGGGCTTCCGCAAAGATTTCAACATTCCCTACGGCGTCGTCCACCTCAAAGAAAAGAAGCAATGGCAGAAAGGCCGCGCCATTATCTCATACTTCCAATCACTCAGTGGCAATCTACTCCGCATCACCAGCCGTGCCCTTGACATTATCCTTCAACACCTTTACCCCCAACATCCCGGCCAAATGTCTATTCCCCAACTTTGGCGCCATTTCCACAGCTACCTCACCCAAACCCCACCAGACATCTCATTGCACGCCACCAACGATGACCTGGTCGGATTCTTTAACTCGGTCCCACAACACCGACTCATCGATGCAGTTCACTCTCTCATTCAACACTGGCAACAACAGCAATCCACACACACCCTGACGGTGGATGTCCAGGCTACCGGCAACCCTTTTCACCACTCTCACATTGGCAGACACCATCGAAAACACCCTACACAACGCACCATCCAGACATCAGACATCACCACCATCGTGGCCTTTACCCTCAACACATGCATTTTCCGGGCTTGCAACAACACCTACAAGCAAATCCGAGGAGCTGGGATTGGATCCCAGCTCTCTCCAGCCCTTTGCAATGTCGCCATCACCCTCATAGAACATTCCTGGCATCAGATCCACAACAACTTACTTCAACACACTGACCTACACTTCACTTACTATCGATATGTCGACAACCGTTTCATCCACCACAACTTCTTTGGCGACCCAGTGGAACTCGAACCGGTGGAGGACTTCCATCTCCTAGGTTTCAACATCGACCTCCCACAACGCACCATCACCTACATGCAACCTTCCCAACCCTGGAAAATCAGGGATTCCACCACCGCCGGGAGCCAGCGCTTGGCTCTGTCAGGCCTCCAATCAAGACTCCACACCATTCGAAAATACACATTTCCACCCTCCAGCGCTGAAGCTGCTGCTGCCGAGCTAGTGAGGCTCTATGTCCAAAAAGGACACAACCACCACGCGTGCCACCGTTTTGTGAAAAAGCGCCGACGACGGCGACCTCTGTGTGTGTCCACCCCTGGACAAAGGGTTCCAAGGCATAGCTTCGTTGCACTGAGTTTGCCAAGGAGTGCTCAGTGCCCAAGCATGTGAAAGGTGGTGGAAAATCTGTGAAGGAAGTGGCGGTGGAGTGGGAAGCACGGATTGATCACCCGTGTGTACCTGCAACAATTTGGAACTGTTGAACACGCTGTCCAATTTGCTCTTTTTGTTTCCATGGTTCTTCATGCTTCCACCCCCAAAACAGGTCTCTCAGCCACTTTCAGCAGCCGCGGTCTTTTGCAGCTTGTCGTCGCAGTCAAGGGAAACAACCTTTGTTCAAACACCTACAATTTCTCGGACTTTTCGCCATACTGTTCCACCGCCATCCTTCCCATCGTGGTAACTGAGTCACTGAATACAAGTGTCAGAGTGTGTGTGTGTGTGTGCACGTGTCATGGATTACGTTGTCTCATGAAAAATGGGAAAACCAGCCACGGGCAGCCACATCAATCACCATGTCCCTTGTGCGGCGAGCCATACGCATTTAGCCGAACAAAATCACAACATGTACATTGCAACAGTTGGGGGATGGTTTGACGGACGCGATTGCGGAAAAAGAATAACATGGCGCCAACGGACGCTGACGGATGAATGTTTTCGCAGCGAACTTCAAAGCTGTTATAACAACTTGTTCTATAACCTAGTCAATGTGCCCTGGCCTAACTTGAGCCAAGTACTTTAAGTGTTAGCAAGTGGTATAAGTTTTGCACAATTTATAAATAACATACACAGGTTTTGGTTAGGCAATATATATATACACAATGTTATAACAATGTGCAAACCTTTAGATCTCTAGGCCTCGAGAGTACTGTGCATCTCTTGGCCATTTACTGTAGATCTTTCTACCTCTAGAACTCTAGACTCTAGACTTCTAGATCTCGCTGGATCTGGATATCAAAACCTGCTAACTCTACAAGTAGAACCAGACCTCTAGACTTCAAGGGCAACACTGTTTAGGGTCTCTTGCCGGGATAATCTTCTGTTGGTGATGACCGGACAGCCAGCATACAAAATGATCATAATCATATTCAGCAATACGTAAAATGGCACACGGACAAATTGAGAGCTATGGAGGTCTTGAGAGATGCGAACTACTGTATGTGCCTCCTCAAGGCTGATGCGTGTTTCGTAGTTCCTCAGCTGCCAGTTCACGACTTGGGATTGATGGAGAAATTCATGCTTCTTTGTTATTATTTTCAGCCAGTACACTTTGCGACATGAAATGTCATCTTCTTGTAGCTTTCAACCATGGTATAGCAACTGGAATGCATGGCCACTTTGAATGTGGCGCTTTCATGCTCTCTGACATCAAACCTGAAATGGTTAGCAAAAAACAGGTTGCAAAACTCCACTGAACTATTCAGGTTGTGTCTCTCTTCGCGTACAGTCTACAACCCAAGATTTTCCGACCTCTCTCTGTTCATCTTTCTCTGACTCTTGTGTCGGAAGCCAGCGGGGTCACGTTTGTTCGAGGACCATGCGCACCGTCGAATATCTGCATATGAAGTATGACATGTGTCATACAACTAGCAACATACCGTAACATACTTATAGCATCTTATAGCAGAACCTTTGCCAAACTACAAGGTGCACGGCCCATAGAGCAGCTTCCATGCTTGTTTCATTGTGGACTCAGCATACAGGGGCAGCACAACAGGCTGTTGTTGCACATGTCCTCAATTGCACTGAGTCTGTACTCACATTGCAATTCTGTCTGGATTGAAATCTACTTTAGGGACGTCCTGAACTAGTGCCACACGGTGTCTTGCAGCACCAATGTCGTTTGATATAGGTCCGCTTCAAAGTGACCGTTTCTTTTAAGTTACGCAAGACTTTAAGGGTCTAGACGATGGCATTTTCCAATGAGAACGGCGGTATCCTTTGTGCTGACCCTTATTTTCAGTATGCTGCAAAGCGTTTCTGATATATGATGATTCTTTCACGCTGGAGGTGCTTCTTTTTCCATTACATGCTAGGAAGGCGCTTTTATTTATGTATGCTAGAGATTGCTAGAGCGGCCTTCTTCGTATGCCATGCATATGCCAGGAGTTGCTGGAGGTACAGTATATTTCCTTGCATTGCATGATTCTCTTGTTTCTTTGGATCGTGCTCTTGTTTTGTCTTGCAATTGTATGTCAACATATTTTTCCCCGCATGCTGAAGGTGCATTTCTAGGATCATGAAAGAACTTCAAATCGGTTGGGCGCCTCATGACAGTGACAATGCATGGTTGTGAACGTGACAATGTTGTGATGGCAGTGACAACGATGTGAACATTGTCAACGCGATGGCAATACTCTGAAACCGATACCGAAAACAATTATATACTCTCACACCAAATGTGCTGGAAATACAAAGCAAAGTGTGCAAAATTGCTTGCAGTTCAACCGCAATGCAACAAACAGGAATATTTGGGCAATATCACCTAAAGGAAGAACATCTCGTCAAAATGCCCAAAATAATGCTGCCCCGCAACCATTGAAGGGCCACCGGGCCCCGTCTTGATCCCAAGGCACGTGTTCAGCATCTCAACCACCAAATTATCGATACTTCTGCGTTTCTTTGGGATTGTGGCATCCTCCTCTGGCTTGTATGCAGCTTGCTTCCTGCGGGATGCAGGCCAAGCACTAGCTTCCAAGTGCAAACAAGCCAAGTCTAGTCGAGACCCAGTTGACCTGAGCAAACAGGCTCATTTTTTGGTGTATTCAGGTTCAGAGATTTAGTGTGAATTTTCTTAGAACACATCTTTTCTTGATGGTCAACAATCTCCTTGCTGAGTCGGGATTCCAAAAGAACTCCATGTAGGGCGGCCACTCGCCATAAAGTAAAATATAAAGTACCTCAGCAACAAGAATAGCTTCGAATAGCTGCACCAATCGAGATGTGTTCGTTCACAGTTTTTCGTGGACCTCGGTGTGGGTAGTCTCAACTCAGTCCAACCAGGTTGCTGTCCCCATAGACCAAACATCATTGGCTGGGAGTCCCTGATGTCCTTCATGAACTTCTGGTGCAGCAAACCTGAGGGCGACAACTTTCTGGATCTTCGACAGCAGGGGCTTCTGCATCGCTTATCTTGAACTGAGCAAATTTTAGCGCATCTACTTGCACAGCTTGGAGGAAATGGAATGTTCCTGCACTTCAACTGGCACTAGTTGGTTTCAACATGTTGGGTCAACGGGGGGTTTGCCCCGAAAGCAAACCTTCTCCGACCCAACATGGTTTTCGGGGGGGGCTGGGGACAGTTTCGTTCGTGTTACTACTCGCGTAAATCGACATTCGTGTTGCGCTTCGGCTTCGTGACTCGAACACTCGCGATACACTTTCGGCTTAGAGGACATGGCGGGCTCCACTTTTGAGGTTTGTTTGTGCTTGTTGTTAGTTCTTTTGTTGCGCTTGTACGGTTTGAAGTGGCATCTGATGGATTTTTTCGCGGCTGACCCCTTTTTTTGGATGCCCACATTGATGTTTGCTCCCGTGTCTCCGATCCGACTGTGTCATTTGTTCAGGAGGCTTCATTGTTAAACTGTTTCATTTGTTTCATTGAAAATCCACTCAAGTCGTCTTCTTGGAGTTGAACTCCAAAACGATAAGTTGAGTGACCCGAAAGGCAAACATCCCTGTAAAAGCGCATGCTTTTCTAGCCCTGTGCATGTTGCTGTCCTGGCAACCCCCCCGTTTTCCCAACATGTTGCAAGCATGATATGGCAACAACTAAACCACTCCTGCAACGACGCTTCAGGGGCTTTTTCAGCAACTCCAAGTCTGAACAACATCTACCTCTTCAAAAAGGTTGCAGTCTGCATTGTCTGCATCCCGTATTCGCGGTCGTTCGCGGTATTCACAATGACTTTGGGGGGCCATGTAGATCCATCTATATTATATAGACCAGGGAGCATGATAGCTTTCAATGGTTTCAGCCGGCTTCGACCATGTTATTCCAGTGACTCCACCACTCACATCCTCTTGCGTCAAAGAACCCTACTGTTCCTCCTTCACAATCACCTTCGCCTGGTCCGCACCTTGAAGCTTTCGTTGTAGGGTTCGGACGACCAAAACAAGATTACAATACATGAATAGGCTTCATAAATGCACAACAAAGTGTAACTATATACAGTATATATATATATACATATTAGATACAGTATTACTGAACATTATTGAAGTTTGCACAAGTTTGGAATTGTGGCGAGTCTCGAAATTACTAACCCTGGGCAGCTGAGTTGCACAACAGTCTTGAACATGGTCATGATACATAACATATGGTTGTTTCTTCCACGAGCCAATCTAAATGCATTCTTCCGTTTAAACCTGCTGTTCTTGGCTCGGTTCAACAACGACAATGGCAATCTGTCAGAGACACAAAAAAAGGGGCACAAGTAGCATCAGCCAGGCACATTTGATCCAGATCGATGATGCTCGCAAAGCAAGATGTGCCCTTGCACTGCAGCATGATATTGTCCTTGGTTGAAAGAAAAACACCAAATGGACCCACAAGAGCGTCCCTGCTAGTGCAATGATCAAAGTCATTCCAGCAACATAGCAAGTCTACAATAATGGGCCCTTGGCCTTAGACCTAACTCGCCCAATCTCCTCAGTCAGAATTAGTGGTGGGCTGTTGGCGGTCAAGCTTGAGAAAATAAAACAACTATCACTCTTGCTTGCGTCTGTCAAACAAAATTCAATGCAGTCCTGGGGTCGAGCTTCAGATCCATGTGAACCTGGGCTGTTCAAGCAGTAAGTTCCAACTCGTGCGGCATTTCAAACAGACTGTGACCAGCTCCGTAAAATTGAAATTGTCTATAGTCTAGTCATCATCCGACTGCGGGAAAGCATGTTGCTGTCTGCATTTCAATGAGAACCGATCAATCCACCAGCCATCAACTAGACCTATGAAAATGTCTGCCGCGTGCCAATGCACTTGGCAGTCACCACATAATTGTGGTGCCGCCCAAGGCAATATATTTGTATGTTAATATTTATAATTGACACCTCGACTCGAACAAAAGCAAATACACCAAGCACATACACTGATGAAGCAATACATTCTTTGGTTGCAAAAGCAGCCTTGGATAAGAGCACAAGAACTGTTCAATCTGCTAACACATCGGAAGCGGTGATGTGCTAGCTATTGTAAATCATTAGTCACTGGGAGCTTGTTGTATCCACCAACAAGATCCAAGCAGCATATCCTTTGGCATGGATCGCACTCACGCCTTCAACCGCTTGGTAAAAGAGAGCCTGACACCCACTGGATGCACAACATGTTTGAGAAAACATTCGTTCTTGGCTATGAAGCCTGTCAGTCTCCCAGTTGTCAGTAATGAGCAGTGACAGAACCCTTCAGTTTAAATTGCAACTTTATTTAGCGGTTTTTGACTGGTTGGTTGGATGTGCGTGTTTGTCTGATGGTACTTCCATGGTCTCCTTCCTGGAGTTGTTTATAGGCTGGCGATTAGCAACTGACCATTACATACCGGTAGAAGATCCTGTCTCACGAAGGTGGGTGGATCCTGCTAATCTACTGGTGGACTATTTTAGAGGCACATTGGCACACCGGATGTCTGTTTTTCGGCAGGTTTGTTTTGGTATTTTTGATGAGCTTGGTTTGGTTGTTCCGCGGGGCGGTGTGATTTTGACTCATTGCAGTGTCATCAAGAAGATGCCTGGTGTGCTGGTGTGTCGGCCTTCGAAGTTGGCTGCGAAGGTCGACGATGTTCTGCGAGCTAAGTTTCATCGATCCCCGTTGAGATCTAACATTGATTTGGCGGCGAGCTGGGAGGTGCAGGCTGACTCTGAGGTCAGGATGTGGTTTGAGGGGGCTCGATGAGACTGTGCGTGGCTTAGATGATCGCAAGTTCCCCTGCTTAACATGAGCTGTGGCTTGGACAGATTCGCAAGTCGCGCTATTTACGTTTGGGGGAAATACCGAAATACCTTTATATAGCTATACTCAAAGCGTTTTGCTTTGTGTATGGACTGCTGCCACCTGAGAAAGAGGTGAGAGAGGGTCTAGTTTTGCTATAGCCAGTCCAATCAAGCCAAAGAACCCAGATCTGATGACAACAGGAAGCCGATGAGTGCCAACAGGGATAGAAGTTTGTTTCAAAGACTTGGACCCGAGCATCGGCGATAATTACAAGGGTCAAGTGACCCGTTCGCCAGTCGTCGTGTCGAAAAATCACAAGAATCGTGTGAATCGGCTGGCAACTTCTAGGCGCAAACAACCACAAAGAACAGCCCACAACTGACATACAGCATGTGTTTCTTGGCTCTTGGTTTTTGTATATAATTAAGGCTTGCTGAGGCATCTTGCCAGGCAACCAGCACCCATAGAAGATCGTGTTCCCTGATAGTCTCCCAGCACGGCGATGGGTGCTCCTGAGATCAGCTGGATAGAGAAAAACAAATTCCCCATTCGCTTCAAATCAATACAGTATATAATTTGAATAGAATGTGTGAGGTTTCCAGGCCAACCGAAAAGGACTCCCAAAGCAAAACACTGCAAGTACTGGAAAAAACAGGACTCAGTCCGTTCAACCCACACAAATCTGCCATGTCAGATTCAGAGCTGAGAAACCTTGGTCTGGCACATACATGCATCGCTGTCTCTACATGCCCTGAAAAGGGCCGAAAAACCTCGGAAGTTCGAATCACTTGGAACCACACAATGCATACAAGCAGGTTCAGGTTCGGGGCAATCGGATGCAATCGGACAAACGTCCAACAAAAAGAGTGACACAGTTAGTCCAGAACTTTAAACACTGGCACTGCTGCTAGGTTTCTGCCACTGTTCATGAAAGGCATCATGATCCAGCGGCCATCCTTAGAAAACTAACTACTGCACTGCAGGCCGGTTCCATCTTCCACCTCTTCTACCAGGCAAGTGCAGTTATGTTCCTGTAACATGCTTGAGTTAAGAGCAGCAACAATGTAAATATGCATCAACCAAAATTGTAACTACATCCAGTAAACTCAGTCCCCACCATCTTTGTTTAGCTTCTGTTGTGTCCACAGAGTCAGGCACCCCGATGCTGGAAATCACGTATTCCTCGTCTTTCATCAGCCGCATCCTGGGAGAACCCAACCATCCAACCCGTTTGGAGAGTTGTGAATATGTATATATATATATACTACTTAAGGTGTTATACAATTTTGGCTTATTCCCCACCTGCCAGGTGAGGCTTGTTAGATTTTATCACAGTTGTTCTTCCTCCGCCTCCGCCGCCTCCTCGTCCTCCTCCTTCCTCCTTCCTCCTTGCTTCCTTCCTCGCCAATCTTCATCGCCAATCTGCTTCGCCGATCTTGTCTGGCCAGCTCCGGATCGCAGTGTGCACCCCTGGACCTCAACCGCAAGGATCCCC